CCTAAAATAAAACTCCAAAAAGGTGTACAATATGGGACCTTTAATAGACTGAGAATAAGCGTAGCGCTATAGAGTTGCATCAGCCATTCTGACTGGAAAGTTCTCTGGATTGCTTGCATTATAAGGACATTGTATGAGTAAGGGACAAGTACGTCCAGTGTTATTTGAATATTAATGTTATATTGCAAGCATATTTGTTGCAGATACTGTTTCTAAGTTTATTTATTTATATTAATGCGACCCATTTACCGCACGTGAATTACACGCTGTATTATATGCCGTCAACAATCCTTTGAAGTTAAATTATAGCGATCGATCACTTTGACTTGTATAAGTAGAAGATACTTTGTTGTTTATTATTTATAGCTATTATGTAACACTTAAGTGATTCATCTGCTAATTATTATTTTTATTTTATTGTTCTAGAAAACCTTGCACATGTCCATCTATGTTGATGCCAGAGCAATCATTAAAAGACTATCATTAAGACATGACTCTGAGTTCTCTGACAAGAATACTATAGCGGTCAGTGCACATCGATCCAACTATAAATCCTAAATCAGAACGTGATATTAATTAAATTGTGTGGTTTGTTAGGGACTGCTGAACAAACATTAACATTTATAAAGTTGCTTTCAGAAAATGAAGAGTTGTTTACAGGTGCAAAGAATTCTGCATCTGAAGGTTTCATGTAAGTGTAGATAATGATCTTTATGTCCAGTTAATGTTCATTTCAGACAGTTTAAGTGTGCATTTTATTTAATGGCAAAACATAAAAATGTAAATAAAACGGTTAATAAAAATAAGTTTTGCCAGTTGCTGTCTTCTGTCTTTAGACACATTTTAGGTGAAATGAGTTTAGACTGCATGGTGACTTGTGACCAGGCCAAAAGGAAATGGGAGAACCTGAAATTCAAATACAAGGTATTGTACTGTGCTTTTACAAATATCTGTGGCACTTTGTTTTTCTGTAATGTTCAGCAGATATGACCTCTTGAGGAGCTTAACCAGCAAACCTTATCTGCAGAAGCTGGTTGACCAAGGAAGTGTTGCTGATTCAGCTAGTTAAGGGGCCAGTGGGACACAACAGCATCCAAAACACAACTTGTGCATGGTCATTTAATCAGGACAATCTGTAAATATATGAAGTACTTTTATTCAGTTAATTAAAGTTAAATCTGATACACTTTAGAATGATTTTGTATGCTTTTTAATTTTTGTACTTAAATTGTATGTATGGTATTCAGTGAATTAATTCAGTCATGTCGAATTAATTAAAATCATGAAACTTAATTTAACATCAATTTATTAAAAGTTTAACAAATATTACATGTTTAAGGCCCTATGGAATGTTTTATTTTTCCAACCTTATGTTTTATTGTTACCAAATTCAGTTTTAGCATGTCTAATTATTTGAAAGCATAAAACAAGTTTCATTTATTCTTACAATAGCCTTAAGATTTTTTGCTCAGAAATTGTGTATTTACATTTTTTTTAAGGCATAAAACATTAATTTAATCTATCTTTTAAGTAATGAAAATTAAACAAATTTAATTTTTTTGGAAAATAAAGGTAATTTAATATTACAATTAAAACATTGAAAAAATATTGTATGCTTATTCCTTAAAAATAAGGTTTTAATAATTTTAGTAGTAGTAGCAGCAGCCTGTTGCATACATTCTACTGAACAACAGTAATATATTTCTGCCAATGCCCTCAAGTTAAACCGAACGTTTATTTTGACGGGTTGCCGTGAATACCTTTACGTTTCTGTGTGTATGACATGATGATAGTTTTACTCAAATTAAATGGTCAAATGCTCATGAAGTGACTCTCAGAGCAGTTCTGGAGATGTTGTTCATGTATTTATGTCCTCATTAGTGAGACGGCAGACGGTAATATCACCGGAAGCGTCACGAGCGCTTAGAGGGTAGATACTAGAGGGAGTGGGCTCACTTGTGTGTGTCTGTGTGTGAGTCCTGTGATCCCCACCCTTGGTTAATAAAACCCTTTTGATTTATTCTACTCCATGTCTCCTCGCTCCTTCGTTCCTGTGTTCCTCGTGTGTGAAACGTGACAGAACGGCTGACCAAAACCGTAAGCGGCGCTCCTTCTCCCGTGTTTTATTTTTGTTTTTGAACAGTCTTATGTTATTTTTCTCCCGTTTGTCTCCACGGATGGAAGACCGCACTGTGAAGCATGCTGGCCGCGCCGTTGTCAAGCCCGCCAGCCGGGGCTTTCTCCAGCCCGATGGCCTTGCTGAAGACAAGCCCGCCGGACGCTCAGAACCAACCTGCCCTCTGTGAAGCGTGCCGGCCGCGCCGTTGTCAAGTCCGCCAGCCGGGGCTTTCTCCAGCCCGCTGGCCTCACTGAAGACCGGCCCGCCAAGTGTTCATGTGGCAAGCCCGCCGGCGGTTGATCCGTCAAGCTCGCCAGCCGGGGCTTTCTCCAGCCTGCTGACCGGGCCGATGTCAAGCCCGTCAGCTGGGGCTATCTCCAGCCCGCTGGCCTCACCGAAGACAAGCCCGTCGGATGCTCAGAACCAGCCTGCCAAGCGTTCATATGGCAAGCCCCCAGGACGTTCAGCACTCTTGCCCGCCGACCACGCCTTTTGCATGCTGGCCGCGCCGTTGTCAAGCCCGCCAGCCGGGGCTTTCTCCAGCCCGATGGCCTTGCTGAAGACAAGCCCGCCGGACGCTCAGAACCAACCTGCCCTCTGTGAAGCGTGCCGGCCGCGCCGTTGTCAAGTCCGCCAGCCGGGGCTTTCTCCAGCCCGCTGGCCTCACTGAAGACAAGCCCGCCAGATGCTCAGAACCGGCCCGCCAAGTGTTCATGTGGCAAGCCCGCCGGCGGTTGATCCGTCAAGCTCGCCAGCCGGGGCTTTCTCCAGCCTGCTGACCGGGCCGATGTCAAGCCCGTCAGCTGGGGCTATCTCCAGCCCGCTGGCCTCACCGAAGACAAGCCCGTCGGATGCTCAGAACCAGCCTGACAAGCGTTCATATGGCAAGCCCCCAGGACGTTCAGCACTCTTGCCCGCCGACCACGCCTTTCCCCCCCCGATCCAGAAGAGGATGCTAGGGGCAAGGAGAAGGGTGTCGGTTTCAGCCTCAGAGCTCTCTCCAGTGTCAGCCCAGGCTCTGGAGTTCGCTCCTGATTCCCCGTCGAACCCAGGAAGGGCTCCCGATCCCCAGTTCCGCCCAGGCAGGGCTCCCCGATCCCCAGTTCAGCCCAGGAAGGACTCTAGTCCCCTGTCATGGCCCACGGAGGGCCTCGGAACCTGTAAGCGTCCCCAAGTATTTGGGGGGGGGAGTAGTAGGGCTCCAGCCATAGAGGCGGGGGCTGGGGCTGCAGCCTCGAAAGCTGCTCCGCCATGGCCTCCTGAACTGCCTGCACCACCATGTCCTCCTGAAGTCCCTACTCCGCCACGACCTCCTGTGTTCCCTACTCCGCCACAACCTCCTGTGTTCCCTACTCCCCCACGACCTCCTGTGTTCCCTACTCCACCATGACCTCCTGTGTTCCCTACTTCGCCACGAACTCCTGGGTTCCCTACTCCGCCACGTCCTCCTGGGTTCCCTACTCCGCAATGGTGCCCAGAGCTGACAGATCCACCATGGTGCCTGCTCTGGAGGCCTCCCGTCTGGTAACCCTACTCCTAGAGATCTCCAGAGTGCCCCCCCCCCCTATTGGATGTTGTGTGGCATGAGGACACGCCTTCAGGGAGGGGGGGAGTAATGTCAGACTCTGGGCCAAGTTTTGTGTGTGTCTTTACTCCCTATGTGCTCCATCATCCAGTTTCTCTGTCTCGTGTTTTTTAATTCATTGTTCCCAGGTGTTTCCTATGTTGATTGTCTTATGAGTTCCAGGTGTCCCTTGTCTTCCCCTCATCAGTTCCTGTGTATTTAAAGTGTGTTCTAGTTCTTGTCCTTATCCTTGGTCAGTCATTAAACGTCATAGGACACGCCTTCAGGGAGGGGGGAGTAATGTCAGACTCTGGGCCAAGTTTTGTGTGTGTCTTTACTCCCTATGTGCTCCATCATCCAGTTTCTCTGTCTCGTGTTTTTTAATTCATTGTTCCCAGGTGTTTCCTATGTTGATTGTCTTATGAGTTCCAGGTGTCCCTTGTCTTCCCCTCATCAGTTCCTGTGTATTTAAAGTGTGTTCTAGTTCTTGTCCTTATCCTTGGTCAGTCATTAAACGTCATCCCGATGTGTCGAGTCCTGTGATCCCCAGCCTTTGTTGAATAAACCCTTTTGATTTACTTTACTCCGTGTTTCCTCGCTCCTTCGTTCCTGTGTTCCTCGTGTGTGGAACGTGACAGGTATATCTCTTAATTGCTTTATAGGACATTAAGCAGAAACCAAAGATGACTGGGTCACAGACAGAAGGAGGAGAGGAGACAGCAGGTACATGGCTGTTCAATACAGCCATGGATGAGGCTATAGGGGGCAGGCCTTCTGTTACTCCGGTCAATTTGTTTGCATCGGGTGGGCCAGAGGGACCCACAGAAAAAATGCAAGTTGTGACATGCCTTCAGTGGCAATTACTCAGTCCCCACCAGGAGATAACCAGTCCTCAGCAGCAGGCACCCAGTCCACAGAAGCTGAGCCTGGGCCATCTGGAATGCAAGAGAAATCAAAGAGGGAAAGGTCCACGTAAAAGAAATGAAGTGCTTGAGTTTCTCAGGGAAAAGGAAGAAAATGAAGAAAAACAACGACAGGAGGAGTTAGACCGAGAGGAAAGGAGAGTAGAGCAGACAGATAGACACGTTATTGAATATTTTTACAAAAATAGTTGAGAAAATGTGAATAGACTTTTTGTTTCTTATCTTGTTTCTTTAAATTCTTATCAATGGTAGACATTTCATTTTTTAGTTTATTATCAGTCAGTGTGTCATGCTATACTAATAACAATTCTGTGTTGACAATTAAAAAGCATATATGAAAATAATAGCCAGTTTCTGTCTTACTTTTCAAATATGTTCATGGCAGTGTTTGCCCCATCCTGTTTCTCAAAGAACCCAGACACTACACCGTTTAGATGTTTCCCTTATCCACCATTCCTGATTCAAATCATCAGCTTATTATTAGTCTATCAGACTCTTGTTGTATGGTTACTTATGGTTTTGCTTACTTCAGTACTGTTGTACTTTTTTTGTTTATCTCAAACACCAGTTATTGAACAACGATTAAACAACTGAATCTATACATTTGCTTGTCATTCCTTTGTTTTCTTAAAACAAAGACAAAAAATGGACAAAACCTTAATAAACCGCATTTCCTTGAAAATATATTTCATATACCCGAAATTCAGAAATCAAATTTAGGTCAGCAGTGTCATCATTATTGCGTCGATGTGTTCTGTGGTAAGTTCTTAGAAGAAAGAAAAAAAAACAATGAGAAACGCTGCCGCAACCTGGACTATCATTTTCACACTCGCTAAGTGTGTCCCATCGGGTAAGAAATTCTACATGCACACTTGAGATCTTCACGCCCACTTGAACACTTGGGCCAAATACAGGAAATATGTCATGTAAGTAGACAATTGCTCAAGTGCAAAGACCGCAAGTGTGGGTATTTGGACAGGGCTTCTCTCTTCGCTAAACTAAGGAAAGTTTAGCCCTTCTGAGTTCCATAGTTTCCTAGATTTTGCCTTTCTCGTGTTTTGATCCTTGGACTGTTACCTTGTTTTTTATTTATTTCTGCCTGTAGTGATGGGAGAAACAAAGCTTTTCAAAGCATTGAACCAATTGCTTAGAAAAATGATTCGATGTTTCGAATCACTTGAAACAGCACATGCTGGCAACACCTGCTGGTGAAAATGTTGTAAAAGCATGAAGAACTCAGACCAAACTTACAAAACCAATGGAAATGTTCTTCTTTTTTTAAATAAACAATAAGCACTTAAATACTATTAAATATTAGTGCTTGTGTTATGTGTTTTATTTAAGTATAATCCAACCCTTAACACACAATAAACTAAATTAATTATTTAAGGAATTAATTTATTTATGTAATTATTTAATTAAGTATTTTCATTAGAGCTGTCTATAAAAACCAGCAGGCAAGAGTAGTGTTTATCAGTCAGGAGAATGAGGTGTATTTAATTCTATCGTAAGCTCATTTTGTTATTTTTAAGGTATGATGTGATTTGTAGGTTGAAAGTACTGAATGTCTTTACACATTTTTTAGAACTATATAGCCATCTGTGTTAAAGAGAAGTTATCTTTTGTTTAACCCACAACATCTGGACCTGAGTTCTTTATTTTGTATAGTAAAATTTTGTGGGATTTCATGCCACATGATTAACTGATGAAATCAGTTCTATGATATATAGAAAATGGTAACACTGGTTCAAAACAAAAGATTCACAAATGTTTCGAAGCTTTGTGAAGCAGTGTTTCGAACGTGCCCATTACTAGCTGCCTGCCCTGACCTTTGCCTGTCTTGTGGATTACTCTTTTGCCTGTGCCTCAGATGTTATTGTTTGCTGGTGTTTGACACTGCCTATCCTGAGTACACTCTATGTAATAAAGCCTTGCTTCTGGATCCCCAACTCCGTCGTCACGACTCCCTTCATTACATAAAGAGATAAATCCGTGAAAACATCAAATAGATGAAATACCATGAGAGTGTAGTTAAAACAGCAAATTTTGTACTTCACATGAGCCTTATGTACCAAACACATTTGAGATAAATACTACATATTAATATTTGTAGACTTCTTCCCCTCTGAACTGATTTCTTGATGCAAAGAAAACAACTTATTTTGTTATTTTTTTTACTAGAAATTTCCAGGCTGGTGTATCAGGGCATGTTGGAACTGAACTCTGCAGGACATTGGCTCTTCAGAAGCAGATTTGGAGACCACTGAAAACTGCTTGTGCCGCCAACTGTGTATATGCGTAGGTTTTTTATAGGACAAACCATTTGGGCCCATTTGGAAAGCCTACAGTGGATTGCCCACAGAAAACCCACACAGCCCCCCTGTCGGCCCACAGCATTTTTCTCATTGGGAGCCAGTATGATGGTTTACTGTTTATCAATCTGTAATGGGGTGTTCCCTCAACTTCAGGCACTTTTAATAATCATTTGATTTTTATTTTATATAACAGTGTAAGCTAAAGTGAAGTACAAAACATGCTGTTGAAACAACCAATCCCACTATCAGTCAAATTTTTTATACTAACTCGCCTTTCCCATGTCAACCCCATTTCATTTTAATAAAAAAATAAAATAGGCAAACACGTTTAAAAAATGAACTAATACATTAAACATGGGCTAAAATAAAAAAAAGATCAAATATTAGTGCTGTCAATCAGTTAGACAAACCATTTGGGCCCATTTGGAAAGCCTACAGTGGATTGCCCACAGAAAACCCACACAGCCCCCCTGTCGGCCCACAGCATTTTTCTCATTGGGAGCCAGTATGATGGTTTACTGTTTATCAATCTGTAATGGGGTGTTCCCTCAACTTCAGGCACTTTTAATAATCATTTGATTTTTATTTTATATAACAGTGTAAGCTAAAGTGAAGTACAAAACATGCTGTTGAAACAACCAATCCCACTATCAGTCAAATTTTTTATACTAACTCGCCTTTCCCATGTCAACCCCATTTCATTTTAATAAAAAAATAAAATAGGCAAACACGTTTAAAAAAATGAACTAATACATTAAACATGGGCTAAAATAAAAAAAAGATCAAATATTAGTGCTGTCAATCAGTTAAAAAAATAACTAATCACATTTTTCTGAAATTAATCGTGATTCATCGCAATTAATCCCAACTAACATTAAAGTTTTTAAATATATTTTTATATTGCAATTTCATATTCAATATTCAAATTAATGTAGAAACAACATAAAGACAGTATATTTTGAATTATTTGTTTAATGGCATCGTTTTATATGACTGAAGGCGAGTATCAGTGATATCAGTACTACTGATCTCTCTAGGAAATTGTTCTTTTTTTTCCTAATATTAACCATTGATTATAGCCATTCAACATTACAGTATAATTGAGAGCTATCAATTTGAACATTTATTAGAAAATAACAGCTTCTAATTAAGTTAACTTAAAACAATCTTAACATAAACCCATTATAATGAATGTCACATTTACCCGTGCCCTTCAGCAAGTAGGAAATATACAGAAATAGAATAAAGTTATCAAACCAGCATGGCACCACAAATGGCAGCAAGGATGCTGAGCTCCGCGATTCTTCTATTGTTTTTGTTTGTTTGTTCTGTGTTTTGTCATTCTTCTTCTATAAGTTTTACCAGAGACGAACTCCTTAACATTAAGCAGCACATCCCAGACAACATTTTTCCGGTTTTTGATTATTCGGACATTTTGTTGGACATTCTAGTCGGAGGTACAACTGTGTTGTTCAAACGCGCGTTTAGACGCAGAAGAGGGAAACGCGCCGGCGCTCTAGTGAAGCTCCGCGTGTGCGGCTTTCGGACTGCGCTCCCAAGCATTCATCTTGCGAATGTCCGTTCCCTTCCTAACAAAATAGACGAACTACTTCTCCTCACCCGCACTAACAAGGACTTTTCAAACTCTGCTGCACTGTGCTTCACTGAAACCTGGCTGAGTAAAGCCATTCCAGACAACGCGCTTCATCTGCCGGGCTACCAGCTGTTCAGAGCAGATCGCATCGCGGAGTTAACGGGGAAAACCAGAGGTGGTGGATTGTGTTTCTACATCAACGAAAGTTGGTGTTCAGATGTAACAA